AAAATAAAATAAACAGCAATGTAAAAAAAAAAAACAAAAAAGAAGAAGAAAAAGACCACAGCCTTTAAAACCCTATGGGAAGTTCTACTGTGTTCTATAGGGTCACTATGATTCAAAAATCTACTTAACTGCAATGGGTTGGCACTTAGTATAGTGGCATTCAGTCACTGTGCAAATGCTGGTTATTATACTTTTATACATGTGTTTAGTCCTTTAGTTATGTTTCCTTTTGCTCTTCACCAGTGGGAATGAACTGAGAAAACACAGCTTTTCAGAAGCAGACAAATTCAGATCAAGTTACTTGGGGTTTACTAAGGGTCCTCATCCCTGCTTCTTGGCTATTTGACCTGAAAATTGATGCTGGCATCTTCCACCCTGGCTGCCTCCACTGGCTATTACTGCTTCCCCAGCCCAAAGACAAAGAGCAAGAGTCCCTAAACGTCCTATTTTGGCCACTGACCCTGAGCAGTTCCATGACTCACTCACCCCATCCTGTCCTCATTCCCTGGGTTTCTCTTTTCCCTTTCTCCTCGCCTCCAGCCAAGCCATGAATCTTCTTAATCCTTTTCTAGGTCCTAATATGTCCTCATCTTCACCCATGTCCTCCAACACCTGCACATGTACTAAGGAGAACCAGGGTGAACCACGAGGGAAAGGGCAACCCTAGTCCCAGGTTTGGGACTGTGGCTGGAGTGAAAGAGAAGCCTCTTTCCCAGGAAACAGGGGTAGAAGTTATATTGAGAACCTAGCCCTGGCCTGTCCCCCTCTGCAATGACAGGAGAGGGCATGCTGAACATTTCCTTCTTATAAAATTCACTAAAGAAAGACATTGGGTCATACCTGTCTTTTTTTTTCTCTTCATCATTTTATTGTGATTTCAGTGAAATTTTACAGAGCAAATTGATTTTCCATTTAACCGTTCATGCATGTTTTGCTTTATGATATTGAATACGGTCCCCACAATGTAACAGGATTCTTCCCACTTTCCATTTGTCCTTCTTTCCTATCCATTCCTGCCTTCTGAGCTTTATCCCTGGGCAAATGCTGCCATTTTGATCCCATATGGTTAGTACCCAGTCAGCATGCTCAAAGGCCATCTGTACGTATACTGTTAGCACCAAAAAAGGCTAAAGTCAGCCATTCCCTCCTTTCTCAGCTGTTGTACCAGCTGGGAGCTTGAAATGATTCAATCCTTTCGTCTTGACAGTAGCAATAGCAGCACCATCCCTGTTACAAGGGGCCCTGGGACTCTGAGCAGGGGTCCTTGCCTTCTACTGCCAAAGAATTGAAAAGGAAAGGCAAAATATCTGCACAAACCGAAGTTTATTAAAGAGAAAGGAGAGGCGAGGGGGTTGCAAGGAAGAGACAGAGAGGGGCTTTTGCCCTACACTAGCCTCCAATCTCTCACTGAACAAAGGATTTCCCAGGGTTTATAAAGGGTTTTAGGTGGGGAAAAGGCATCATCTTTATTCATAAAATGAGCAGGGATTTCTAAGAAGCTGGGGTTATGAAAATCACGTGTGCATGCAGAAAGTAGCTGTTCTGGTTCCCTAGTGTCACGGTAACAAGAATATACCACAAATGGGATGGCTTGAACAAACAGGAGTTTATTCTCTTACATTTTGGGAGGCTAGAAGTCCAAGTTCACAGTGCCAGCCTCTAGGGGCTGGGTGAAAGCCTCTCAAACTTAGGCTGCAGCTCTGCCTCTTGCTTCCGGCCCACTGAAGCTAGAGGCATCTCTTCACTCAGGCAGCTATTGGCTGCTGAGGCTGACAAACCCAAGGTCGACAAATAAAATGGCACAGTCCCGATGTTACCAAACCACACGGCAGGCCATTCATTCAAGTCCATTGAAAGTCCCAAGGTTACATGGCAGGCTGCTGAACAATGACACGGCTATACGCAGGGTTCAAGTGTGCCATAAGCTAGAGACCATTCCCAAAGCTGTTTCTTATATACAGGAAGCAGACCACATACCCAAAGCAGATACTTAGCTGCTCCAATAGATTCCACCATGGAGTTAATTACCAGTCTCATCATGGGGAATAACTACATTCTGCTGCCCAGCCACTCAACCAGGCCTAGCCAAGTTGACCCACAAACATAACCACCCCAGTAACCAAAATGGATTCCACCACAAAGCCTGCTGGAACGAAGATGGAACACACTGTGAAGGCTGCTGGGATGCTTGACATGACTTATTCTGGGATGATGCACATGCATGATGTTTCTCGACCCTGGTCTGAGTCTCATTGAGGGCCTCCTGTTCTTAACTGCCTGTGATAGAAGGTCTGTCAAGATGTATTTTACTGAGCATGCTTTGCACCTGGTGATGTACTTGAAGGACAGTGCAGGTAGTTTATCAGCGTTTTACAACTGGTCAAGCTTGTGGGGCTTTTGAAATGTAACTTCTTATCTTGCCTAAGGGCCTGGTTTGTTAATCCCATCAGTTCTATGTAGCCAGCAGCAATATTTTCATAGTGGTCTACCACATAACTATTCCAAGAATACTGGGTCAGAAGCTGCTTGATTCAGGCAGCCCTACCTGTCTGTCTCATCCTACTTTCCACATCAGAAGTGGAGGCAGAGTTTAAGGGCCAGGTTCCCTTTACTTGGCATTAACATGAATTCCCCTAGGAGCGTGAGATTTCTGAGAAACTACAGCATCGAGAACAGGTATCCTCAAAATTCTTGGGGAAGAAATGAAATGTATTGGTTTACAAAACTGTAAAATGTTCAGGGGTGAACTGGTTTCAGGTGGCTTGATCAAGCTTCAGACTATTTAATGAGGACTGGTTCGTCTCTCTATACTTTTGGGCTCCAAGAATTCTGAGAGTGGAAAAGGGAAGGGAGATGGTTGCCACCTCTGTAGCTTCCACCCTCTCTGTTCAAGCTCAGCTCGATAGGACTGGAGTATGGAGATGGCGATTGTTAGAAGGAATTGAGCTCTGACTGGACTAACTCAGAGCATGTGCCCAAATTTGAACAAATCACTGAAGATGAAGAGGAAGATGGCTGACTGACTTAGGCCCAGCTAAGGTGCTCGTCCCCAGAGCTGAGAGTGGAGTCAGCTCACTTTCTCATCTTCTCTGCAGTAATTATTGTAAACCTTCCTCATGTCTTCAAACCTTCATATACTTCCCCTCCCTCCACTTAGCACTTCACGTCCCACTTCAGAAAGAAATTAAATTCATCACACTGGAATTTTCTCTACTGCTTGTCCCCAAGAATACCTTCAAGTGTGTAGAGAGGAAGCAGACAAAGAAAGAAGAAACAAATGGAACCCCAAGCACAGACATTGCCGGGGCCCAATTCCATTTTAACAGGAGGGAGGGAGAAGCAGCTGATGACAGAGGTAGTTCTCTTTTCTCTTTTACATCCATGACACTGTTCCTTCTGGTTTTCTTCCTCTTTCTCTGTTCTCTGGCTGCTTCTGCTAAGTCTCCTTTTCCACTTCCTCCTCCTCTATCCAACCTCTAAATGCTGAAGTCCTTCAGAGGTCTGTCTGCCCCCTTCTCCTCTCATCTTACAATTTTAGGGAAAATTGTATGTATTCCCCAGCTTTAATTGTTATTTGTCAAGTCAACAGCCTGACAGTCCTCTTTGAGCCCTATGCACATATATCCAATGCTTCCCTGACATCTGCACACACATGTCTGACTCACAAGCTCAATAGGTCAAAACTGAACCTGTCTGCCCCTCCTCCTCCCATACTGACTTCTTCTGAGAAAAGGGGATGATGTGGAGTGTTGCTGTTTCAGCAAATGGCATTACCATCTATCTAGTTGCTTAAGCCAGAAATCTGGAGTTATTCCTCACCCTGCAAATGCAGTTAATTACAAAGTCCTATTAATTTGAATATCTTTATCTACTTCTAGTCACCATTGTCCAAGTCATCTATCATCTCTTTTTCACTTGGGCACATGACCCATAGACATGAGACTCTTTCCGAGTTTTGACATCTTTGCTCAAAATTTATTAAACTGGATTAGATGCCCATTTTAAGCTCTAAAATGTTATGAGTTAAATATGGACCTGTACACTGCAACCAGAGTTATAATGTAACATTTTTAACATTGTAGGACTTGTATCTCGGGCTCACTACTCCCTAAGTTCTGCTTCCACATCATCCAGATACTCCCAGAAACACTTTTTAAAGATGAATCTTACAGGCAGAAAAATAACAAGAGGAACTCAACGGCCAAAGACTGTAAGTAATGATAAATTTGATAATATGTATGAAACCATGAAAAAAATTAAATCTGAAGTTAAGCTTTAGGATCGTTTCAAAGTTACATTGTTGTTGTTGTCATTGTTGTCATGTGCCGTCGAGTCGGACCTGACTCATAGAGACCCCTCCTTGGGTTTCCGAGGCAGTATCATTACGGAAGTAGATTGCCCCATCTTCCTTCCGAGGAGTGGCTGGTGGGTTTGAACCACCAGCCT